AATTGATGTAGGTCCAGATTTCGGGGGTTTCTGTGTTAGCCCGCTAGTCCTTAAAAGCGGCCATATATGTGGTGTCGGTAGCCTATTGGTTAGGTTACCGGACTCGTAATCGTGAGGTTGTGAGTTCGGGGGTTCGAGCCTCAGGCCCGACATTGTGTCTGTGGGAAAGGCACTTAACATGAATTTCCATCACTTCACCCAAGTGGGAATGGGTACCCGGCCTTAGACAGCGAAAGCCTATCACTCGACCACAGACGCCACGTCGGTGCTAGCTGTTCACGTCTCACCCAAGTTGGGGTTGGCCCTGACAGGACTGGCTGAAACAGAATGTCTCCTAATAAATGTTCTTATGTGTTTTGGTAAGGGCCATAACCCTATCCGCACGCCCTGGGGTCATTTTGTACCCCTGGGGTCATTTTGTACCCTTGGGGTTGTATTCTTCACATTTTACAATACTTATATTACGAAGATCTCTTTGAAACTTTCAGTATTTCTCAAAAAATCATTTTGACAGACTGCTATGCAAAGCGTAGTGATTGGATTAACGAGTAAATTTCCTCTTTGGATAGTGGTGGCACAGAATTCCCCACGTGGTATGGTTAAGATAGTAAAACACGACGTACGGATAGGGTTAAACAACCAAAACAAAACCGAAAAGGTGGGCTGCTGTGAAGACGGTCCTTTCATGTTTTTGGCAGTGTTTTTTTGTTTTGGTATTGGGGTTTACATCAGTTGTTTTTTTTTGCGAGTTCTTATTTGATGCTAGATATTAGTATGTTGCCTAGAAATAGTAATTGTTATGCTTCAAGAAAAACAACAACAACAACAACAACAACAACAACAACAACAACAACAACAACAATGACAGCAACAGCAATATCAACATCTACAAAAACAACAAAAATCCCAAGAAAATTGTCTGGAAATAGATTATAAAGATGGTGATGATGATGATTATGATGATGATTATGATGATGATGATGATGATGATGATGAGGAGGAGGAGGAGGAGGAGGAGGAGGAGAAAGGGGATGATGGTGATGATAACAATGAGTTCTCATCGTTTTGGTCGTACTCACTAAACAGGAGCAGACGATACAATGCATCTCTCCGTACTCGCCCACCACTGGCTTCCACGTACTGCCGTTCTTACGGCGTCCTGTCGCTGACAGACAGTCTGGGAGGGGGGGGGGATGGGAGGACGGGAAGAGATTTGGGGGCAGGGGGACAGGTCAGGGTGAGGGAGGAGAGGAGATATTGAAAAGTTTAAAAATGTACGCGCATTTAGCGCAGTTAGTGACACAGACACATAGATCTATACACACACACTATATATGATGCATACTCATGCATATTCATTATACACACATACACATATATACACACACACGCACGCGCGCACGCCCAAACAAGCACACACATACACACACACACAAACACACACACATACACACATACACACGTGCACACACATATTCATACACACAAACGCACGCACGCGCATACACACACACACACACACACTCACACACACATTTACACCCCCCACACGCCC